AAGACTTGAAGCTCATGCTTGACCTACTGCAGTAAGTCCCAAATTACTTTTATCACCTCTACTATTTCCTTACCAACTTCTGGTTATTAGAATCACTTTCTTTACAAACAGCCCTAAAACCTTTCATTACCTCCTGGGTCCTTCCCTGCATCCAAATACCTGGCACTTCAGGTCTCCCACTAACTGAACTGCTTTGTGACAGCCACTTCCTTTTGTTTGTTTGTTTTTTAGCCACTTCAGTTTTAATGTGCCTTTAGCAGAAACAGCGCTACAAGTTGCTCTTGGGGTGCGGCTTCTCATCCTCTCCGTGTCACAGCCTTTGTGCTTCCTGACAATCTTTAACTCCAATTATTCTTTCCCAGATTTTCAACTTGTTCCTCCCTCCCGCCCACATTGTATTAGTACTTTCTGATCCAAATCCGTGACATTACGTCACTCACTGATCACTGCGCTCTTGAGGGACCTTAAAAATTTCATTTGCAAATATTTAAGAAAATTCTACAGCAAACATTCTCAAATCGTTACATGGTAAGTTTCTTAAGGGCACGATATTAGCTTTCATTCTACATCCATGTTCAGTGTGGAGGTTGTTTAGCAAAAGCTAAAGAAGTTTGACAAAACTGAATATACAGATTTAAAATTGAGAAATTATTCACAAGATACCCATAAAGGTCTTTTTACATGCCCCATTAACAGTTTAAGATTCACACAAATCTAAATTGACCAAAAATATACACATATCATAGAAAAAGTTGTCAGCAGCAAATTTAACTGTGCAACAATATTAAAATATAAAATGTAATGATTTAACTTACAGCTAGAATTTCAGTGTTTTCTAAAATTCTTGTCGTGAAATTTAGTTTCATTAATCAAACTCTCTATACAAAAGGACCACTGAAAGATATGTTGTTTATATCATGAGGAAGATATTTATAAAAGTACTTTGGGGGCTGGGATTTAGCTCAGTGGCATAAGTGCCTGCCTTGCAAGCAGGCAGTCATGAGTTCAATCCCTGGTACCGATAAAAATCAAAAAAAGACCAAAAAAAAAAGTACTTTGTAAAAGAAATTTTCAAAATTATTTCTAACATGAACTTATAATACTAATATAGCTATAGTATATATACATGTCAGAGTCCAACTTTTTCCCTACAGAGTAAGTATAAAGAAAATTAGAGCATATTCAATCTTAGCTTTATTTTCAAATTTAAATTATTTTGAGTAATCATGCTTTATAACTAGTCTTACACTTTAATGCTAATAGGAATAAAGATGTTTTTCCTCTTCCTTTAAATCTTGGCAGTCTTCTCAAATTTTGGAGTTAAAACTTGATTTAAAAGCCCATTAAGAACAAACTGCCTAACTGGAAGTCTGGACTTCACAACTAAGGAGTCTCATGACCACAAAATATGGAGGGAAAACTCATACTGTCCAAAAACATAAACATGTTTTGTGAGTCAGTGACATAAAGAATAAAAACAGATAATCTTCCTCTTACCTTACTGGTTGTTAAAATCCCTAAATCAAAGCTGAAAAGTAACCTCCTTATATCATATTTTTGCACAAATAATATATTCTATCAAGGGTTTACTCAGCTCATATGAATTGCTAAGTCTATAATTAGGTCACAATTTCATTTTAGGGATATCTGACTCAAATTATAATATTTAAAGTATTTGGCTAGATGACCTGAGTTCATGTATGCCACTAGTCAGTGGTTCTAGTTGAAAATTGAGAACTATCAGTAGTTTAACATCATTGAGATCTCAAGTCTATTGCATTGCTTTCATGAAAATTGCGTAGTCTGATGTATTGTTAAAATTGACTAGAAATTCCAGGAGAAATGACAAATTTTAAGTTTTCAAATGAACTATAGACTCAAATCCAAGTTAACAAAAGTTAACTTGGTTAACTTTTTTAAGCTAAAGCTTAAAATCTAAGTTAACAAAAGTAAAACAGACAAAAGTCTTAGCAACTGTACCTCAGAAAAAGAGACTTCTATCTAGAACATATAATAAATCAGGCCCCCAAAATCCTAAGACCCAGTCCAAAAAGGGGCATCTGAGGTGAATATACACTTCTCAGATAAAGAAGTACAAATGGCAAATAAATACATGGAAAAGGGTTCAGCATCCCTGGTCATTAGAGGAATACAAATAAAAACAACACTGAGATTCCATCTCACTCCAGAAATGGCCAGGGTCAAAACAACCAATAATAAATGCTGGAGGAGATGTGGGGAAAAAGGGAACTCTTTCTTCTCTACTGTTGGTGGGAGTGTAGATTGGTGCAACCTCAAAAAGATTAGAGGTCCCATTTGACCCAGCTATCCCACTTCTGGGCATAGCCCCAGAATTAAAAACATCATACCACAGTGATATATGCACACCCATGTTTATAGCAGGACAATTTGTAATAGCCAGATCTTGGAAACAACCCAAATGTTCGTCAACTGAGGAATGGATAAAAAACGTATTTTTATATAATGGAGTACTACTCAGCTCTAAAGAAGGATCATACTGAGGCTTTTATAGTTAAATGGACACGACTTGAGACCATACTCATAAGCAAGCAAAACTCTGTGTAAATATCATATTGTCTCCCTAGTGTAAGAAACTAAAAGACTAAATAAGATCCAAAATCTACACAAATAATGTGAAACAGCAAGAAATTTTTCCCTCTGAAAGGGGAAAAATGGATGAGTAAAAGGAGAGAATGAAAGAAAAGGAAAAAAGGTATAGGTTTGTATATACAGACGTAAGATAGCCAAGATAACTATACTAATTCTATTAGTTCTTGGAAAAGAGCAGTTGATATTCATATGATTAGATCAATTTTGTATATCTATCTGGACATCTAAGGAACTCTTTTGAAGATAATAATATGCAATATAACAATCACTGTTAAATTCCTACCATCTTGTTTTGAAAGCCTTTATTGTTGTTTTGGGTCTTTTGTTGTTGATGGGTTTTTTTTCTCCCTCTTTAAAGCTAAAAAAGAAAAAAGTAAAACAGACTCAAGTGAAGTGAATCGAAGAATATGCCTTCCTCTAGAGAGGCTACTATTTAGGTCCAGCTGATTGTGGATGCATCATTGACAGTGGCCAACTTTTCAAAGGAGTCAGAAATTAAATTTGTATGTGAAATTCAATGCCTAAACATAATCAGTTAATTAAAAAACAGAAACCTTACGTGGGCCCAAATGGAGTACTCAGACTGCCAGCCTGTAGCCTCTGGCTTTTCCTGGCCCCTACAGAGGGCCAGCAGATGAGGTCCCACCCATCCCATCCCAACACAAACCTGTTTCCTTGGCTGGCCTACCTGCTCTCAGGAAGTCAACGCACCAATCTCAGCTTCTCTCAAATGTGCCAGCACACGGGCCACAGGCAGGGCCACTGTTCACTTGACAAGCAGAGATCACGGCTGCTGCTGAGTCTAAAAATCCTCAAACCGAGACTTAGCAGACCTAGGCCATTCATCTCTTAAAGTCCATCTCCATGTTAGCTGAGTCTGAGACACAATTCAAGTGTATATGCCAAAACTGGCCCAACCTCAGGCAGGAAGTATCTCTGAAACGGCTTGTCTTCTAGCACTGTCTATTCTTACATGCAGCTTTAAACTAATCAAAAAGTGATTCCAGTTCAAATCTCAATTCCAAAAAGCTTGTTCTCAGAGCAAGTACTTCTTATGGAAAATTACAATAGTAGAAAAAATTTCAAGAGAAAAAAAAAATTAAATCTAACAAAGATTTAAGACATCAATAAGATAGTTTCTCTTATCCTTTCCATTTCTGTTTCTTATTTTGTTGCAAAGGATTAAGCCCAAAACAATCACTCCATCACAAAGCTATAACCAGCTGCCCTTTTTATGTTTTATTCTGAGGCAAGATCTAGCTATAGTGTTTTTGCAATCCTACGGCTTCAGCCTCTTGCTCTGCTGAGATTATAGGTGAGCTCCACCATGTCTGGCTCATTCAGTGTGGTGCTTTCATCTAAAGAAAATTAAAGCTATCGGGGTGCAGAAGGGCTACAGTCACATTGTAGTTCCTGAATTTAAGACAGTGTGAGTCAGATGCTAACACACTCAAATAACAGAACATCCTTCACATTAACTTTCTCAAAAAAGTATTATTTTTAAATAGTAATCATTCTTTATATGAGAATTTTATAGAGAAACTAACCTTATTGAATGCGTCCCCTTTTCTATTTTTTGAAGCATTTAAGAAAGTTTGGTACACTTTGAAAATTTGGTAGAATTCACCCTTAAAGCTGTCCAGTAAGGGTTTTTCTTGTAAAAAAGATTTCTGATGACTGATTCAGTCTCTTTATTTATACATGCGTCCAGATTTTCTATTTCTTTATGAATCACTCGTGGTAGCTTGTTTCTATTAATTTATCCATTCGTCAAGGTTATATATAATTCTTTAAAACAGTCCCTTGTATTTTTAAGTTTCTGAATGAATGGTTTCTTCCCAGGGTCTGCAACACTGGAATCCACCAGGTCCAGGGAGGAACCATGAGTCACTGCTGAGCCCTGTGGCTTCCATTCCCACCTTTCTGTGTATCCGCTCGTGATCATCAACTGTGCTATCACCGAGCAGATCGGAGCAGCTCAGGACTGCACCTAGAGCGGACTGCAGGTTGTCTGTCTTTGGAAACTCCTGTATTTATGACTATATCTAATCCTACAAACTTAATTCTAAAAAGTGTATCTCTTCAAGTTATGTAATAAAATCTTATTTTGTTATTTAAAATATTTACAAGAGCAACAAAACAGAAATAAACTGAAATAAGTGCAATTTTAAATGAACAAAACCTAAGTCCTGCCAGGGATTAGGCTCAGCGGTTCAAGTGCTTGCCTGGTAAGCACAAGATCCCGAGTTTGATCCTTGGTACCAAAAATAAAAAACCCGTAATTTCTAAAAATAGTAAGACAGCAAAATAGTCCTGTGTTACTTGAGATATTTCAATGCCAGCAAAAAACACACACACACACACATATACACATTTCTCATCCAGCTGACACTTTAATAATCCACGATACAAATTAACACATAAAAAGTACTTTTATAACATGCTACCAAATAAAATAAGCCATCATATAATTTTCACGAACATGTTCTTCGACTTCTAACCTCTGCTCTTCTTTAGAATTACCTGTGGGGGAGGGGGAGACACAGATTCATATTATACAACAGAAAATAAAACTTTCTCAATAGACTTACATATATAATATGCAGATCTAAAAATGTAAAAGCCAATTTGGAAGAAATCAGTGAATCCTTTACTTTATAAATGATTTAAATTTCCTCTAAAATGGGCTCCTCTAGATGAATATTAAACATACTCAGATTCTGAAAACCTGGTTTTCTGAAAACCTCTAATTACTGATCTCTGTAACCATAATTCAAAAGTATCCAGATTAATGATTTCAAACTTGAGGATTTTAGATAGTTACACAAGAAGTTAAAGAATATTCTAAAACCCCAAAAGCCTACTATAAATCAAACACTTCATGACTATAAAGTAGTATAAACCTACTGTGACATAAAATTTCCCATATTAGGGCTGCAATTATATCAACTGGAGATCAAGACTGCTCCTCTTTTGCTGAACACTTTCTTAAGTAGACAATTTTCAAAACATACACCTGATAGCAGAAATAAGACAAAAGGGGGTCTTTAATTGTAAACAGGCCCAGAGGACCAGGCTACAATACCTACAATATTTTTAAACTACATAGCTATTATTATAGATGAGCACATCTATAATTTACTTATAAACAAATCCTAAGTTTAAAACACATATGTATTATTTAAGGTCTCTCATTCCTTATTTTACTTTCAGAAAAAAACCCTTACTTTTAATATTTAGAAAGTTTATAATGACAAGAGGATTTAGAAGTGCCTAAAAATTGCCGGGACACACCTCCACATGCTTCCCACATATGGTATTACCACACTCGTTCACCACCCAGGCCAGCACTTCGCTGTCCTGCCAGACACTACTACAGAGACTTCAACAGAAAGTATTGTGTACTCAACAACTTTACAAACAGCCTAGCTGAGCAGAATTCAGCAAGTTTCCGTTCTAGTACACGTTTCATAAATTTATACATCTATGGTTTTTAGTATTTTGTTGGTCTACAATTTGAATAAACATTTTTTAAAATGTGAACAAAGACAAAAACAAGTTTCTACTACATCATCCCCTTTGTCAACTATGACTGCCAGCTCTTTGAATACTGTTGGAGAAACCGGCTCTACATATATCAATAATAGCAGAACAACTGATCAAAGAGATATTATGGTATTTTAGATTATTAACATTCATCTAAGCATAAAAGTTTCTAAGATCTTTTGGAAATAATGTTTTCAGAAATCTTTTTTTTTTTTTTTTTTTTTTGTATCAGGGATCGAACTCACACATTTGCAAGGCAGGCGCTGAGCTAAATCCTTGGCCAGAAATCTATTTGAAAAACAGCCCTACGTGACACATGCTTTCATCAAAAAGAAATACCGTAAAAAACAATCTTCTCTGTTCATAAGAGATTTTATCATAAGTCACTCATAGCTCAAAGCAAGGCCAGGAAATCAACCAGTTAGGTAATTAGGGTAACTTGAAATGATGACGAAGAAAATTTTGACAAATTTCAAAGTTATAAAGCTTCTCAGTAATCAGATACTCATTTTTCTCTAAATGGTAATAAAGCTGTGGCAATTAACCTTCTAATCAGAAATCTAATGTACATACTAGGAAACATCTACGTCCTTTCATTAAAAGTCATCAACATGGAAAGCCAAGCACCAATTCAATCAACAGTGCTGAGTGAGATACCCGCACTGAGCAGAGGTGATGCCCTCGATGGTATTTTTAAAGTTAACTCTTGCTCAGGAAAAGAAACCCCAGTTGTACCTTTGCTGCAGCCAATATGTGATCCTTCTTAATGATTCCACACTTATTCTCACAAGCATTTATCCTGGCCTCCTCTGCTAACCGATGAACAAACAGTAAAAAGTTCAAATGAACCTTTAAAAGAGAAAATGTAAATAGATTTTTAAATCCAAGCACTAATATTTTGAAGTAATGACTTTTAAATTTATAATGTAACTTCAAAAAAACGTTAAAACATAACGACTATATTCTAGGCTCTTATTTTACATTCTGAGATCCAAGATTTTTAACTTACATTATTATTACATGTCTGTAGTATGTAATGATTGCAGTCATCATGGGGGCTGGTATGTGTAAATAACACATCTTAATTTTTTTACAACTCCTTTCCTTTCTCTCCCCTCCTCCATCTACTTCTCCATTCCCTTCAACCAGAATATCAATTTAAAATATCTATTCAAAGCCTGGCATGGTAGGAGACATCTGTAAATCCAGCACCCCGAGAAGCTGAGACATGAGGATCATGAATTCAAGGCTAACCTGGGCAACTTAGCAAACCCTGTCTCAAAATAAAAATAATTAAATAAGAAGAGCTGGAGATTTAGCTCAATGGAAAGTCCATAGGTCCTGCCCTCCAACCACCCCCCCAATTTCAAAATATTAATTAAAAATTTTAAAGAATGCTGAATTGGAAAGTACACATACCAGTACAATGTACTTTCAAGTCAATACTTATCATTACTTATTACCTGTGCACTATCATCGTATAATCAACTCCACTCTTAATCATTAAGCCTTTTTAAAAGTTTTGCTTTCAATAGATAATACAGGACTGGAGTATTGTAGGCTACCAGCATCGTGGAAAGCTGGGTAAAGGATACACGGGACCCTGCGAGTCTACAATGACTTTCAAACAAAAATACAAAACAAAGCAATGTACAAGGGAGGGGCTTCAAAACTTAGTCCCTCTTCTGCATCATTCTCTAGCCAACCATGATAGCAGTTTCTTACAGTCTCACAAAAACAAGCTTTATCTATATGCCAACCACACACGGCATCAGATTACATAGTGCCGTACAGTATATAAAACTGTCTTACATACACATTCTATATATATAAGAAAGTGACGTATATCTCATTAGAAGATGATACATGATATACATATTTTCACTAAAAATATTTTACGCAAAATAAATATCCAAACAAAAAGTGCTAATCAATCTATACACATATACCTTGACAAAGTTAAGATGCACAAAGTGTGACAGAGATAAAATAAAATGAGCTGCAGTCCTGTGACTCAGCCCGCCGCCTCCTGTGACTCCCAAGCAGCGCTCCCATCTTCCCGCCCCTGGCTTCTGTCAGGTGCCCTAGATCCAGTCAGACAGTCCCTTTGTCTTTTATTTGTACCTTTAGATAGTACCTTTATTTTTTAATTTTATTTCTATGTTTGGGGTACATATTTACATTAATCTTAGGGAGTAGACACAGAAACTGAATATATTTGATTTTTATTCTCCTCCTCCTTCCCCCACCTCCTTCCTTCTGTCTAGATCCTTTCTGCATTTTCATTTTTATTTTTTAGTTCATGTTTACAATATATAAAGATCACATTCACCGAGGTTAGTTGGTCCATGTATATGATGTATCTTGAATCTTTTCATGTCCTGTCCCCTTCCACCCCCACCCCTCGCCCCACCTTCAGACTCTTGATCCCCTTTCCATTTGCTCCAGAGTAACTTTAACACAAATTTTCTTTCATTATTTATATTGTAGGTAATACATGATCTTTGCAGTTAAAACAATTCATACACAATAGTACTATCTTATGTGCTACAAACAATATTTCCTAAATGTTAATGAGACATTTCAAATGCTTTGTATTATTCAGAAATATCTAAGAGAGTCATATTTAAACAGTGCTCTAGTGATAATCTGGGGGAAATAAGAGTTTAGGAATTTAAATTTAGTAAGATGAGAAACCCATACAAGATATTTTTTTGATACAGTTTTTTGTTGAATTTTCCTAATTCTCTCAAGTACTCTGAAGCAAAGCATTACAATTCTTACTGTTTACATTACAGTGTGCCATTCCATTTTTTTACACACTTCCAATCATAGTCCACTTTTTATTGCAAAAATATTACATAATAGGGCACAATTTCATAGGTTAACTTATACATTCTACTTATAGAATGTATAACAATATATAAAGGTCCGCAAAATAAAGCTTGTAGTCCTTCACACTAAGCTCCGCTTGGCTAGGCCTTTCCAGGTTCATCTCCTGCCTTCCCCAATCCCAGTTCTACACTGTATTCTGAGGTACTTTAAGAATTCCAATGCATCTTTGCCTCCAGAAATTCTTCTGGTTTGAAGACTTCCCGAAGAAGCCCAACCTCCCAGTATGAAACACCATATGGATCAACAGCACCCTGACTTTCCTATGCACTGAGTTGTAGTTTTATCCTCTTCCTCTATGCACTATTTTTTTTTTTTCCTGGTACTGGGGATGGAACTCATGACCACGCACTTGCAAGGCAGGTGCTTATGCCACTGAGCTAAATCCGTGGCCCCTCTCTGCACTATTAAGAGCAAAACCTATAACTATCCTTCTCAACACTGTTTCCCCAGTGACCTTTTGCTACTGCTCAACACACAGTAAACAGAAAAGTATTAATGTGTGAACAAACTATCCCTCCATGTCTCTGTGAATAAGGCAAAATACCTGAAACAAAATGAAAAAACTTTTTAAAAAGCCTAATAAAACAGTATTTTGAGACTTGGGACACACTATTACACTGCAAAGAATGTACTTTTTCTTTCCTTCATGGACATTCGCCATGGAAAATGACAAAAATTACTTTATTAGATGATTCACAAAGCACTTAAATGTACAAGGGCTTAAATTTAAAATGTCAGAACAAAACCCACTTAAGTAGTCACTTAAATCTTACAAGTGTAGGAGACCAGATAGTAAGAATCAAGGCCTTATTGACTTTCCCACTCAACACAAAGGAGAAAAACAGCAAGTTGTGCTCTTTTGGTAAATGAGCCAGTGTACTGGCATGCTGCAAGTTCCAGGGAAAGTCAACACAGCTGAGATCTGGGTGTTACCTGGTCTTATACTATAGATAATAGGAGACAGATGATTCTTATTTTACTTCAATTGCTTGCTCGTGTTGTTAAGTGAAAGCAAGGTGAGCCAAATACCCAGGGCTCTTTGAAAAGAGTCCCTTAGCTCCCTCTTTCTAAATTAATTATGTGTCTTTTTGTTTTTCATCTTCATTTGCCTGCTGTCGGGGACAAACTTGTAGGCTAGTTCCTACAAAAAAGAAAAGCAATTACATCAGTAATTTACTTAAAAAAAAAATCTGCTTGCAGAAAAGGTAAATCAAAAGACAACTTACACACACTTACACGCACACACCTTTTTCTTTAGTCTCAGTTGACTAAAAAACTCACCAAAACCTCTCCCTCTCTATGTCATAGCACTTTTAAATTTTACGTAAACCATAAGCGCCCAAACATTTGCACAGCATTCCTCCACAAATCTAAAAGCTAAAGAGTTACTAGGAATCTGAATATTTATATTGAATAGTTGTCATATCTTTTACGGTTAGAGAACCTGCAGATACACAATCAAATAAGGCCAAATAATGAAAAGCCAGCGATGGAAAACTGTAACACAAAGAACTTACAGGTACTAGAAATTACATCAACCCACATATACTTACCATCTGTTTCAAACAGTGCGCTCAGAATGCCCACACTGTGCTAAGCACCACGAATATAAAAAGTTGCCAGCCCATGTTCCCAGACTAGGAGGAGAAACAAACCCATAAATTAATGACAAATGTGATAACAGGAAATAGATAAAACTCATCCTTTTAAAGGAAGGTTTTTCCAAAGTGGCATTTTAATTGGATTTTTAAAGAACTGGACTTTGCTGAGTGGAGGTAAGTCATCTTCAGAAAAAATATGTAGAAGACAGCAAAAAGATCAGTTTTGTGTCAAAAAGGGAGACAGAAAGGAGATACGGTTCTTTCCCTTCAGGATGCTACACGCCACACTGAGACATCGACACAAACACGCCTGCAGAACATTCCCAATAGCCAAACTCTCATATAATGTATGCTCAAAAAGACAAGACTAGGGCTGGGGATTTAGCTCAGCGGCACAAGCACCTGCCAGGCAAGTGCAAGATCGTAAATTCGATCCTCAATACTCAAAAAAAAAAAAAAAAAAAAAGACAAGACTGACTTAATCATAAAAATTTTCATAAATGTGGCGCACCTGCTATGTAAGGCTACAAAGTATCAATAGTGACCAGAAAGACCCAAGCAAAAAAATGTGGTTGATGCATGGCATATACAAACGTACTGGGAATCTGCTTAAGGAAAGCCATAGAAGACAAGCTGATCACCTCGGAAAAGCTGATGGTCCAAAGACCTTTCTTTCAACCATCAATGCAAAGGTTTTAATTTCAACTCTCTTCCATGCCACCGAGGTCTCACCGCACCATGGGGCTTACCCATGAACAGGCGGGCCACTCCAGAGCATGGATAAGCGATGAATTTTGAGAGGATGATGACTACTTAAGAGATTTCTTCAAACCATCTTTACCAACTGGTTTCCTAGATATCCTTGATCAGCTACATCAGGGAAAACTTGAAAAAAAAGCTATATTACATTGTGAAAGTGAGTTTGTCTAATATAGCTCATCTGTGCCACTTCTACTACCACCAAAGGGTAGGGGTGGGGGCACAACGGCATATCAATATATCCTTTTGTGTGTGGAAAAACAAAAAAGGAGGGCATGACATAACAGATGTAGTTTTCCTGGGGTGAGGAAAGGTGGCTTCAGAGATCAAACAAGGGAAAATTAGAGATAATTCTACACTCTAGAAAAAAAGGCAAAATTCACCAAAAGGCAACAGTAGGAAGGACAGTGGGAAATCTCAGGATACAGAGAAGCAGAAAAAATGTAGTTTAAGAATAGCTGGAATGGCTTCTGTAGCTAACAGGTGTTCTGCTGTGCGCCTAGGAAAATGAACTCACAGATGAGCACTGTGGATCAGTTCTTCAGCGAGTAGCATAAAGCAAAACAGGTCCGTGTGTTCAGTCAACATACTGAAGAGGCAAGAAGTTTAAACTTGCATGTCCCAGGCTCAACTGCAAAAACCTGTTTCAAAGGGTCTATCTGGCAAAACTTTCGCAAGCACACTCATCACCAGAGCAGACTGCGTTCCGCTCAGAATATTCCAAAACTCTAAGGGTTCTCGGCCTAGTTTCGTCACTGAGGTGATGCTGTTACCGTCTTTCTTGGGAAGCTCCGACTTCCACACTTGGGGGTCTAAGCGACAGGACCAGGCGCAGACAGGCAGGCAGGGCACAGCTGCGCCGCCGCGGCCGGACCCGGGGGCCTAGGGACTAGGCCGGTCACCGGCCCTCCCGCTCCCGGCCTAGAGACCCGGCCTTGAGAAGCCGACACTCACCAGGACGTCGCCGTGCTTCTCCAGACGAAGGTGGGGCTTCTGGCGCTTGAAGACGCGCCTGAGGAAGCCGCGGGGAGCGCGGCGCTTTATGTGCTTCCTCTGGGAGATCGTGGACGACAACGCCATCTCCGCGCTCAGGTCCCCGCCTTCTCTGCTTCCCAGATGCTCGGAGCAGCACAGGAGCTCAGGAGGCTGGGACTGGAAGGACGCACCACTGCCGGTCCAGCTTCTTCGGTTTCCAGGACACAGCTCCTGGGTTTGAACCCGGCGCCAAGATAGCGTGCTGGCGCCCGGAAGTGACGTCGCTACGTGGGCTCCCCCACCGGAAGTGCCTGGCTGTGAATGACTGGCGCAAACTGTAGGCGGGGCTCAGCGCTCCCTGACGTCATGGAGAGGTTGAGCCTGCCGGTGTTTCTGTGTAGTAACTGCTCCATGGAGCTATTTGTCCCAGGATCCCTGAGATGATGGGAAAATGTATGAGTTCCTCAGTCAGGGCAGCTTCACTTGCTCTCCAAGTTCTCACTGCAATATTGAGCCTAATAACCATGGACTCAAATGTTTACAGCAGCACAGTTCATAATCCCTAAATCTTGGAAGGGGTCTGTATGTCAATTAACGGGATGGGTAAAGGAAATGTGATGTTTACACACAATAGAATATTACTCTGCCATAAAGATAAACTTGAGTCATTTATTAAGAAAAATAATGCATCTCAAGACAATAGTGTTAAGTGAAGTAAACAATACACATAGCTTAGATACCACATGGTTTCTCTTAAAACCTCAAATTATAAATAAAAGGCAAAATAAAAGGTGGATGATAGGAAACAAGGAAAGAGATCTTTTGCAAATGGAAAGTGGAAGAGATGGATATTGTAGAGGAGTGAGCAAAAGGGAAAGAGATATTAAAAAGAACTAAAATATGTTAAATACTTATATCAACTCCCCACGATGAATGCAAATATTATATACTGCAAACATGCCTTCCTACCAATATCTGCATTTTAATATTTTACATTTTTACTTAATTTTGAGTTTAGCTTTTCCATGTTTTTTCTTTCTTTTTACAAACTTTACTCCCTGTAAATTTAGGTCCTCTCACTAAATTTTGCAATCTGTAATTTTCTGGTGTAGTTTAATTCTAATTCACTGAAGCTTTCTTTATGTCTCCAAGAAATTAACTTCTCCATCTTCTGGGTGACCATAACATTGGTTCTCAAACTTGAGTCAGCCTCAGAACCATCCAGGAGACTTATGAGAGTGCTGCAGGTTACCACTTCTGGATTTTCTGATTCACTACATCTGAATGAACTTACGTGGTGTTGACACTGCTCAACTAGTCCCTGAGATCAGCTTCTAATAATTACTGCGGTCTGGACACCCTTCCATGCACGGTCCATCCTCCCAACTCTAGGACTTCCTCTCTGGAAATGAAGTGATCCTTTCTTATAACCTTCAAGGCCTCGCACATGTGTTCCTGTACTACACCTTAGCAGCAAATACCGTACTCTTCCATAACTTCAATGCATCTGTCTCATTCTTCAGCTTCATGTCCTAGACTTAGAACTTCCTCTTTCTATTACTGTAACTCCAGCCATTCTTAGATGCCACTGGGATCACTGTCCTCTCCCTTTTCTGTCCCTGCCACACCCCTGTCCCACTCTATGCCTAATCTTCTCTGTACATCATTGTACTGTTACCATCATCTTTTGCCCACTCATCTGACACCCCTCAACTCTGCTATTTAAATTCCAAATGTGTTCTAAGTATGTGTCTGTGCACTAGTATTGGCTTACGAAAATCATATATGGAGTTCTGTGTTTCACTCCAGTTTAAATTCAGGACCAGTCGATTGAACCCTAAGTATTGCTGCAATTCTTTGGCATTTGCTAAGGCATTTTATTTACCTGCCCTCTTAAATAACTGTGTCATCCCTGTGCCCTTAAATAAGTATGTCATCCCTTTTTGCCCATCTTCATGCTCAGCTGATGATATTGCTTCCTAGGGATTTTGTACACTTTGACTACCACATCTACACACCAGATTGCCATGTTTTCCAATGAATGACACAATAGCTGTTCTACTTGTGTGCTCTCCCTTTTTAAAGGACACTTGCCAGAAGTTCTCTTTTACTTCATGGTTTTTACTTCTTGATAATTTTTTCCCTATCATACATATGTGCTATATTTTAAGTCTTTTGAAAAATCCTTACTTGGCCCTATTTTAGCTACTTCCGTTTTGCAGCTAGAAACAGCTGGCTAAATTCAATATTACCAGTTAGTCTTTCCCATTGGCTCTTGAATCACACTTTGCTACTTCTGTCTTCATCAAAATTCTACTTATCCAAACAACCACTAATATAAGATTTTTAAAGCAATGATAAATTCTTGGGCTCTAGCTCATTCAGCCATCCAGACGTATTTGTAAGGTTTCATGGCTCTTTCCTCCAAGCAAACATTTTCTTTAAATGCATACAATTTTCTGCCTGATTATTTCTTACCTCCTTGGTCTCTAAATCTTAAATACTCTATGACTCAGTCCTCACATACCTTCTCTATTTTTATTCTGTGTGTGATCTCTTCTGGTGTAACTTCAAAAGCAAACTCATTGTTTATTTTCTCCCTTAAATTTCAGACATTGGGGCTCAGTTTTCCACTGGGACAGAATGCCAAGCATCATCTTGAATGTGACATGACCTAAATAATACCTTGAGCTTCCCTGTGCCCGTGGCCCATCCCACCCACCCTCTTTCCACTACTCAAGCCCAGATTTTGGGCTCCACTTGGGTTCTGCTCTCTCATCTAGCCTTTGGGCAAACAGCCCAGCTCTATTTATTACTGTCTGATCACTGACACTCTGCTACTGCTCTTGTCCAGGCCATGTTCATTTCTCACTTGGGTTATTACAACACCATTTCTTTCTCAGACTGTTTCAATTTATTTTCAACAAACAAGCCATATTTAACTAGATTATGTCAACGTTCCCACCCCCAGCCCCTCCAAAGGCTTCCTACCCATCTAAAGAAAAGTTCTAGAATCACCTATGTAAACCAAGAAATCATAAACAATGTAGAAAGCAAAGACCAAGTAAGTAACATGTTTACAAATCAAGAGACATAGGTTCAACTAGAAATGAAATGTGCTCTGTCAAGGTGTAGGACAACTACATTTAGAAAGGGGAAAGGGGAAATAATTGGGTGAGGGAAAGTAACTTGTTTTGAACAGCTTTCTATTGGTTACTACAGTTACACTAATTTTGTACAAATTTAGATTGTAGAAGCTGCCTGTCCATACATTAAGCTGTGTGTGATTAGTTGCTACAGGCCCATGGCAAAGGGATTGCAGTAAAATAATTCTTTTAAACAATGATCAAGTCAGAAGCCCCAGAATTGGAAGCTGTTTCCATCTGGGATTTTATAAACAAGCTCAGTGTTTCAAACAGTATTCTTTTAATTTCAGTTTCATACTGAGAGACACTTAGTGAGGGAAACTGCTACTTGTCCAGTGTGATTTCTGAGGCTCACAACCTTTTCTCTTCCTCTCAACCAGACTGCAGGCATGTTAATCTTTACACGCACACCTAGCAAGGCTTTTGCCCTCACAATTGACCACACGAATCCATCATTAACTCTCGGATCTTATTTCCTCCAATTGAGCCAATTACCCCTTCAGCGGTGTTCGCCTCCTGGCCGTCAGCTGTAGTGTTCATATTTGTTTCCTCCCAAAATGAATATGCTGAAGCCAAATCAGCATTAGTATGGCATGGCAGGGAGCGAATAGGTCCTGAGGTTCCCATGAATTGGATTTTATCCTTATTAAAAAAGGCCCCGAAAGGCAGCCTTCATTTCTCCACCATGGGAGGACACAGCCGGAGGCAGCATCTGTGAATCAGGAGAGTCCTCAACAGAGTACAGCCATCCCTGGCAACCTTATTGATACTAGAGTTCCTAGCCGCTAGAACTGTGAGAAATGATTTTCCATTGTTTAGAAGCCACCCAGTGTGTGACTGCAGCCCAAGCAGACAATGACCCACAGAAACATGTGAAATATATCAAAGCACAGAAAGACAATCCTCCATCAGATGTTTGTCCTTCCTAGTCCCTCTTCCAGGAATCTTTCTGCCCACTTAGCTGCACAGGTAGTTACTTTGCATTTTTCAGGTTTCTACTCTGAGGAGTATCAGAGAGAAATCCTACTGAAAATAGAAACTCTGCACGTATACGCACATATTTGCTTAGAAATATACGCACGCACACATACCCAGGATAAGTAAGAGCTGATGCTGTTTCCTAGCTCTGGGGACTGTGCCATAATACTGGTGGGCAGAAAGTGATCCCAGGATGAATACATACACCAAGAAAATTAGCAAATGCTACAAAACATATATTGCTGAATTTTTCTGAAAGCAAGTTATGAAAAAGTTATCAGCAAAAGCTGCTTGTATCCTTCTCTGGCCCTCTCTGTAGTTGGTTTTGCTCTGTAACGTATTTCACTATCTATTATTTGCTTATGCATATAGAAAACTCTTACAATAAAAGAATTTGAGAGTATTAGTTATTAAGAGAAAAATAGAAATACCAAGTGTCACATGTATGAGGTTTCTACTGCTAAAGTCTAACATATTACACAGCATTATTGTCTTCACACAGATTTATCTTCTTACAATTCTGAAGATCAAAAACCCTACAATCAAGGTCACAGCCAGCTGCATGTCTTCTGGAGGATACAGGAGAGATTTTTTTCTTTGCCTTTTTCAACTTCTAATGATCGCTTGCACTCTCCCACTTACAGTCTTTCCGTCCACCTTCAAAGAGCATTCCTGTAACTTCAGTTTCCATCACAAAATCGTGTCCTTCTGACTCTGCCCTTTCTGTTTCTCTCCTTTAAAAATTCTTACTAGATTTAGGTAATCCAGAGAAAATCTTTCAGATAATCCAAAGAAAATCTTCCAATCGCGAGATCCTTACTCAATTGCATCTCTAAAGGTTTTTGTTGCTGCTGCTGCTTTTACAAAGCAAGGTTGCATTTTCTATTACTAATTTTAGCACATAAAAATTATTGGAGGCATTATTCTGCATACCACACTCTCTCTTTCTGGACTTGGTTCTACAACAGTGCTGTTTACAGGATGTTTCTCAGTAGTGTGCGTCTCCTCAGTTCAATACAGTCCCAATGTGTGGGCACTTGAAAGATGGCTAGTGCTACTAACATATTAATTTTATATAAACATAGTTCACATATACACAATTAAATAACCCCACGCATCTAATAGCTGCCCCACTGGGTTGTACAGTTGAAGCACCTCATAAGTAGCCTTA